AGGCCCCATGCTCCTAGGAGAGGCCTCATGCTCCTAGGGGAGGCGGCCCCATGCTCCTAGGAAAGGCCCCATGCTCCTAGGAGAGGCGTGGGGGTGCTGGCGGCCTCCTTCTCCCTCTACAGTTCGCAGAACCCGACGTAGGAATAATAGTGTTCTACTCGCTGGCTTTCTCTCTCCATTTCCCTCTCTCCTGCAAAATCTTGAACACACACTCACACATACACAATTCCTAACGGGCCCGGGTTCGATCCCCGGCAGAGGTTGAAACAAATGGGCAGAGTTTCTTTAACCCTGATGCATCTGTTCATATAGCGGTAAATAGGTACCTGGGAGTTAGACAGCTGCAACGGGTTGCTTTCTGAGGATGTGTGTGTGTTGGAGAGAAATATATGTTGTAGATAAAGAAAAAATAGATTGGTTAGAAAGGCGGGGCCCAAAAGCTATTAGCTCGATTCTGCAGAATAAATAGTAAATACACACACACACACACACACACACACACACACACACACACACACACACACACACACACACACACACACACACACACACACACACACACACACACACACACACACACACACACAAGCGAGGTCCAAGAGATAAAGTTCGATCAAGCATTCACAAATAGATGAGTACAGCCCCCAATACACTAGAGAGGTGGGACCAAAGAGCCGAAGCTTGACCCCAGCAAGCTCAACTAGGTTAGTACAGGTCTACAGATCCCGAAGCTGCAGATTAAAGTCCCCACCAAAAAAAAATTATTTAGGAAAATTTCCCGTTGTAAGTTGTCTTGGCTGTAGATGAAGACTGAGGCAACCCCCAACTCATCACGTTGGAGAGACGAAACAGGGGAGATATGATGACAACATACAAGATATTCATAAGTTAGCTGAGAGAGAAAATAATCAATTGTAGTATTGAGAAACAGTATGACCTCGGGACATGGGTGGAGACGGAGGGATGTCTGGTTAAACCTATTAAGTGAAGGAGTAGCTTGTGGAATAGGCTACAAAAAGATTACTTTTGTGAGGGAAAACTCGATTAAGAGCATTAAAAACAAGAAATATAATGAATTAAAGTCATTGCATTAACTGACCATGAGTTGAAGTGTGGGAATCTCACCACAACTAACAGACCAGTTGAGTAGAAATGTACACTCTCGAACACACACTCACGAGTGCATTGACCAGCCCCACGTTTCCCACACCTGGAATAAGGGGCATAAAAAGTCTATCGAAATAGATACACACAAAAGATATATATAAATCTATTGAGTGTGAGTCGGGAGGATGAAAGAATAGGTGAAGGGCCGCGGTGTATAATGATGATGGTGATGGGCAGGAGAAAGTGTACGGGGGTGACTGGTGGTCCGTGTACGGGGGTGACTGTTGGTCCGTGTACGGGGGTGACAGTGGTCCGTGTACGGGGGTGACTGGTGGTCCGTGTACGGGGGTGACTGTGGCCCATGTACGGGGGTGACTGGTGGTCCGTGTACGGGGGTGACTGTGGCCCGTGTACGGGGGTGACTGGTGGTCCGTGTACGGGGGTGACTGGTGGCCCGTGTACGGGGGTGACTGGTGGCCCGTGTACGGGGGTGACTGGTGGTCCGTGTACGGGGGTGATTGGTGGCCCGTGTACGGGGGTGACTGGTGGCCCGTGTACGGGGGTGACTGGTGGCCCGTGTACGGGGGTGACTGGTGGTCCGTGTACGGGGGTGATTGGTGGTCCGTATACGGGGGTGACTGGTGGTCCGTGTACGGGGGTGACTGGTGGTCCGTGTACGGGGGTGACAGTGGTCTGTGTACGGGGGTGACAGTGGTCCGTGTACGGGGGTGACAATGGTCCGTGTACGGGGATGACAGTGGTCCGTGTACGGGGGTGACAGTGGTCCGTGTATGGGGGTGACTGGTGGTCCGTGTACGGGGGTGACAGTGGTCCGTGTACGGGGGTGACAGTGGTCCGTGTACGGGGGTGACAGTGGTCCGTGTACGGGGGTGACAGTGGTCCGTGTACGGGGGTGACAGTGGTCCGTGTATGGGGGTGACTGGTGGTCCGTGTACGGGGTGACAGTGGTCCGTGTACGGGGGTGACAGTGGTCCGTGTACGGGGTGACTGGTGGTCCGTGTACGGGGGTGACAGTGGTCCGTGTACGGGGGTGACAGTGGTCCGTGTACGGGGTGACTGGTGGTCCGTGTACGGGGGTGACAGTGGTCCGTGTACGGGGGTGACAGTGGTCCGTGTACGGGGTGACTGGTGGTCCGTGTACGGGGGTGACAGTGGTCCGTGTACGGAGGTGACAGTGGTCCGTGTACGGGGGTGACTGTGGTCCGTGTACGGGGGTGACAGTGGTCCGTGTACGGGGTGACTGGTGGTCCGTGTACGGGGGTGACTGTGGTCCGTGTACGGGGGTGACAGTGGTCCGTGTACGGGGGTGACAGTGGTCCGTGTACGGAGGTGACAGTGGTCCGTGTACGGGGGTGACTGTGGTCCGTGTACGGGGGTGACAGTGGTCCGTGTACGGGGTGACTGGTGGACCGTGTACGGGGGTGACTGTGGTCCGGCCAACACTGCCACACAGCAGACGCCTGATATCCGGGACACCCATTTTCTCCCGTCATCATTACTGTCATTCTGTGCCTTCCTTCGTTCCTTTATTCGTCATGTATTTCTTGCTTCCTTGTCTGATTTATTTCTTCCGTTATCAATCTTGTTTTTCCTTCATTTCCTTCCTTCCATTACTCCTCATATCCTCCTCCGTTCCTTTACCTTCTTTCTTTCCTTGGTTTCTTCCTCTCTCCCACCCTCCCTCGTCACTATTTCCCGTCTCTCATTCCTTCCCTTCCTTCCTTCTTTCCTTCCTTCCTTCCTTCCTTCCTTCCTTCCTTCCTCCTCTTCCTTCCTTCCTTTCTTCCTCCCCTTCCTTCGTTCCCTTCCTCCCTCCCCTTCACCTCTGTTATGCCCCTTGAGTCTCTGATGCACTGGTTTAGAAGGAAGATCATACTGTATATTTTAGAGCTGAGGGCGGCAGAGAGGGTGGGTGAGGGTGTGGTCCCCCCGCCCCCATACACCCCGACGCCTGCTCACGCAAATCCACCACGGGATCACCTCAGCCCGTGCTACTTGGAACTTTTTGTTCCAAGTAACTGAATCTAAAACAACAACAACAGCCTGCTCATGCCACACACAAGATGAAACATAGAGTTATGATCTGCAGGCTGTCTGAACAACTGTGATCCTCAGGCCTTCTGAACAACTGTGATCCTCAGGCCTTCTGAACAACTGTGATCCTCAGGCCTCCTGAACAACTCTGATCCTCAGGCCTTCTGAACAACTCTGATCCTCAGACCTTCTGAACAACTCTGATCCTCAGGCCTTCTGAACAACTGTCATCTGCAGGCCTTCTGAACAACTGTCATCTGCAGGCCTTCTGAACAACTGTCATCTGCAGGCCTTCTGAACAACTCTGATCCTCAGACCTTCTGAACAACTCTGATCCTCAGGCCTTCTGAACAACTGTCATCTGCAGGCCTTCTGAACAACTGTCATCTGCAGGCCTTCTGAACAACTCTGATCCTCAGGCCTTCTGAACAACTCTGATCCTCAGACCTTCTGAACAACTCTGATCCTCAGGCCTTCAGAACAACTCTGATCCTCAGACCTTCTGAACAACTCTGATCCTCAGACCTTCTGAACAACTCTGATCCTCAGACCTTCTGAACAACTGTCATCCTTAGGCCTTCTGAACAACTCTGATCCTCAGACCTTCTGAACAACTCTGATCCTCAGACCTTCTGAACAACTCTGATCCTCAGGCCTTCTGAACAACTCTGATCCTCAGACCTTCTGAACAACTCTGATCCTCAGGCCTCCTGAACAACTCTGATCCTCAGACCTTCTGAACAACTCTGATCCTCAGACCTTCTGAACAACTCTGATCCTCAGGCCTCCTGAACAACTCTGATCCTCAGACCTTCTGAACAACTCTGATCCTCAGGCCTTCTGAACAACTCTGATCCTCAGACCTGAACAACTCTGATCCTCAGGCCTTCTGAACAACTCTGATCCTCAAGCCTTCTGAACAACTCTGATCCTCGGACCTGAACAACTCTGATCCTCAGGCCTTCTGAACAACTGTGATCCTCAGGCCTTCTGAACAACTCTGATCCTCAGACCTGAACAACTGTGATCCTCAGGCCTTCTGAACAACTCTGATCCTCAGACCTGAACAACTGTGATCCTCAGGCCTTCTGAACAACTCTGATCCTCAGACCTGAACAACTGTGATCCTCAGGCCTTCTGAACAACTCTGATCCTCAGGCCTTCTGAACAACTCTGATCCTCAGGCCTTCTGAACAACTCTGATCCTCAGGCCTTCTGAACAACTCTGATCCTCAGGCCTTCTGAACAACTCTGATCCTCAGGCCTTCTGAACAACTCTGATCCTCAGGCCTTCTGAACAACTCTGATCCTCAGGCCTTCTGAACAACTCTGATCCTCAGGCCTTCTGAACAACTCTGATCCTCAGGCCTTCTGAACAACTCTGACCCTCAGGCCTTCTGAACAACTCTGATCCTCAGGCCTTCTGAACAACTCTGATCCTCAGGCCTTCTGAACAACTCTGATCCTCAGGCCTTCTGAACAACTCTGATCCTCAGGCCTTCTGAACAACTCTGATCCTCAGGCCTTCTGAACAACTCTGATCCTCAGACCTTCTGAACAACTCTGCCTGCTCTGGGAGTCACTCTCGTCCATGACCAGAACGAAGGACTGCCAATGAATATTTTGGTTTAGCTAACCAAAGCAGTTTAGCTGCTGTGTTCTTGTGTATTATTTGGACAAAATAATATGGCGCCTGGTGCTGTTCTGACGTCACAATATGCGAGGAAGTTTAACAAGTGGCGGGAGATTGGATAACCTGAAAGAGGTGACCTCAGATGTCAAAGGTCATCCAGAAGGTCACGCAGACGTCACAAGAAGAGGCATCCTGACCTTATTCCTCAACCCACATAAAGTGTCTCCAACCCACTCGAGCCCCGTGAGAAAGTCCGGATCAAATATTTGAGTAGTGGCAATGTTTGGAATGAGAATGACCCGAAGGCCAGTCCCCACAAGCCCTGGTTCTCCACGCAGCCCTGGTCCTCCACGTAGCCCTGGTCCTCCACACAGCCCTGGTCCTCCACACAGCCCTGGTCCTCCACGTAGCCCTGGTCCTCCACACAGCCCTGGTCATCCACGCAGCCCTGGTCCTCCACGCAGCCCTGGTCCTCCACGTAGCCCTGGTCCTCCACACAGCCCTGGTCCTCCACGCAGCCCTGGTCCTCCACACAGCCCTGGTCCTCCACGCAGCCCTGGTTCTCCACGCAGCCCTGGTCCTCCACGCAGCCCTGGTCCTCCACGCAGCTCTGGTCCTCCACGCAGCCCTGGTCCTCCACGTAGCCCTGGTCCTCCACGCAGCCCTGATTCTCCCCGTAGCCCTGCTCCTCCACGCAGCCCTGGTCCTCCACGCAGCCCTGGTCCTCCACGCAGCCCTGGTCCTCCACGCAGCCCTGGTCCTCCACGCAGCCCAGGTCCTCCACGCAGCCCTGGTCCTTCACGCAGCCCTGGTCCTCCACGCAGCCCTGGTCCTCCACGCAGCCCTGGTCTTCCCCGTAGCCCTGGTCCTCCACGCAGCCCTGGTCCTCCACGCATCCCTGGTCCTCCACGTAGCCCTGGTCCTCCACGCAGCCCTGGTCCTCCACTCAGCCCTGGTCCTCCACGCAGCCCTGGTTATCCACGCAGCCCTGGTCCTCCACGCAGCCCTGGTCCTCCACGCAGCTCTGGTCCTCCACGCAGCCCTGGTCCTCCACGTAGCCCTGGTCCTCCACGTAGCCCTGGTCCTCCACGCAGCCCTGGTTCTCCCCGCAGCCCTGGTCCTCCACGCAGCCCTGGTCCTCCACGCAGCCCTGGTCCTCCACGCAGCCCTGGTCCTCCACGTAGCCCTGGTCCTCCACGCAGCCCTGGTCCTCCACGTAGCCCTAGTTCTCCACGCAGCCCTGGTCCTCCACGCAGCCCTGGTCCTCCACACAGCCCTGGTCCTCCACGCAGCCCTGGTCCTCCACGCAGCCCTGGTCCTCCACACAGCCCTGGTCCTCCACGTAGCCCTGGTCCTCCACACAGCCCTGGTCCTCCACGCAGCCCTGGTCCTCCACGTAGCCCTGGTCCTCCACGTAGCCCTGGTCCTCCACATAGCCCTGGTCCTCCACACAGCCCTGGTCCTCCAAGCAGCCCTGGTCCTCCACGCAGCCCTGGTCCTCCACGCAGCCCTGGTCCTCCACGCAGCCCTGGTCCTCCACGCAGCCCTGGTCCTCCACGCAGCCCTGGTCCTCCACGTAGCCCTGGTCCTCCACACAGCCCTGGTCCTCCACGCAGCCCTGGTCCTCCACACAGCCCTGGTCCTCCACACAGCCCTGGTCCTCCACGTAGCCCTGGTCCTCCACGCAGCCCTGGTCCTCCACGTAGCCCTGGTCCTCCACACAGCCCTGGTCCTCCACGCAGCCCTGGTCCTCCACGTAGCCCTGGTCCTCCACGCAGCCCTGGTCCTCCACGTAGCCCTGGTCCTCCACGCAGCCCTGGTCCTCCACGCAGCCCTGGTCCTCCACGCAGCTCTGGTCCTCCACGCAGCCCTGGTCCTCCACGTAGCCCTGGTCCTCCACACAGCCCTGGTCCTCCACGCAGCCCTGGTCCTCCACGTAGCCCTGGTCCTCCACACAGCCCTGGTCCTCCACGCAGCTCTGGTCCTCCACGCAGCCCTGGTCCTCCACGCAGCCTTGGTCCTCCACACAGCCCTGGTCCTCCACGCAGCCCTGGTCCTCCACACAGCCCTGGTCCTCCACGTAGCCCTGGTCCTCCACACAGCCCTGGTCCTCCACGCAGCCCTGGTCCTCCCCGCAGCTCTGGTCCTCCACGCAGCCCTGGTCCTCCACACAGCCCTGGTCCTCCACACAGCCCTGGTCCTCCACGTAGCCCTGGTCCTCCACACAGCCCTGGTCCTCCACACAGCCCTGGTCCTCCACACAGCCCTGGTCCTCCACACAGCCCTGGTCCTCCACACAGCCCTGGTCCTCCACACAGCCCTGGTCCTCCACGCAGCCCTGGTCCTCCCCGCAGCTCTGGTCCTCCACGCAGCCCTGGTCCTCCACACAGCCCTGGTCCTCCACACAGCCCTGGTCCTCCACGTAGCCCTGGTCCTCCACACAGCCCTGGTCCTCCACACAGCCCTGGTCCTCCACACAGCCCTGGTCCTCCACACAGCCCTGGTCCTCCACACAGCCCTGGTCCTCCACACAGCCCTGGTCCTCCACGCAGCCCTGGTTCTCTATCACAAGTACGGCAGATTAGGGGGAAGACATTTAACACGTCTGTAGTGATTTAACCTTGTCAAGCATCACCAGTTTCGTTCAATGGTCTGAAGGCAGACGCTGTGGCCCGTTGTCTGGTCTCGCCCCAAGATTTCCGCTGTTAAGCCATAAGGTGAAAACTGGGTTGACGATTTGGATCAGAGGCTGTGATTTACGCCCTGGTTCCGGTAGCTTGTGTGCACTGGTAAACTCACCTGGAAATTACATGACTAGTGTATATATATATGACACATGAGAGTATGTCATACACTGACACATTGACAGTGTGTTATTCACTAACATACACTCAAGTGTCTGACACATGAGAGTATGTCATACACTAGACAATGGTAGGTGAGGGGTGGATAAGTTATGTTACGTTATGTAAGTTAAGTTAGGAAGTTATGTTGACCAGACCACACACTAGAAGGTGAAGGGACGACGACGTTTCGGTCCATCCTGGACCATTCTCGACTTGAACAATCGACTTGGGAATGGTCCAGGACGGACCGAAACGTCATCGTCCCTTCACCTTCTAGTGTGTGGTCTGGTACTTCAGCCACGTTATTGTGACTCACCGCCTGCATTAGTAAGTTAGGTACGTTGGTCAGATAAGGATGGGTAAGTTACATCAGGTAAGTTAGATTATGTAAGTTGTATTAGGATAGGTTACTACAGGTAAATCAGGATAGTAAAGACTTACATTAGGTATACTAAGTTATGTAAGTTAGACCATGTCAGGGTAGGTAAGTTACGTTAGGTAAGTTACATTAGGTGGAGGGGGAGGATAGGTAATTGAGAGAAGTTACGTTGTGTAAGTTATGTTGTGTAAGTGACATGAGGTATGCTAAGTTATGTAAGTTAGGTCATTTCAGGTTGGGTAAGTTAGCTTAGATAGAGAGGAATAGGTAAGTTAGACTAGGTAAGTTTAGGTTAGGTAAGTTAAATTGGGTAGGGTTAGGTTATGTAAGTTATGTTATATTAAATCAGGTAGAAAAGGCTAGGTAAGTTTGATTAGGTAAGTTACATTAGGATAGGTTAGCTCAGGCAAGTAAGGTTAGGTACGTATGGGCAAGTTGGGTTGGGTAAGTTATGATAAGTTATATTAGGGTAAGCTAGTACAGTTAAGTTAGGTTAGATAGGGTTATGCAGTGATGATTCGAAAACAGTTTTAAGGTAAAATGGCTAAGAAAATATATTTTAACAGAATAATTATTAACAGAAGTGTAAGTTTGATGTGAAAACCTGAACTAGTTACATAAAAAGAGTAGTGGGTGTTTTGTGAGATATTAAATGCTATTAACTAGTTTAACTGTAAATGTCTTACTGTAACTGTCTTAGTGAAAGCTGTTACTGCATAAAAGATAACCATTTTACTTATTTATTTATACATGCCGAGTAAGTTTATTAGTATGCAGACGATGAGTCACAATAACGTGTCTTAAAAAATGTCTCGAAGAGTGTCTTTGACTATTTTTCTTACTCCATGAAGTATACTGTTAGTTACAAAAGTGTTTAAAGAAGTTACATTTGACTACTTTTAGTTAACGAGAATAATAATTTTAGTTAAGAACAATAATGAAAGATATCTTTGGCTATTTTTTCGTACTTGACGAAGCATAATGGCTGTTAAGAAAGTTTTGAAAGAAGTTAAGCTTGACTATTTTTAGTTGAGAGAAGTGTTATTTTAGTTAAGACAAGAAAATATGATTAATGTGATTATTTTCAGTTCAGAGAAGTGTTATTTTAGTTAAGAAATGATGAACGTGGCTATTTTTTTAATTGATTGATGAACACTTTTATTTAAAAATAACAAACATGACTATTTTTTTAGTTGATTGATGAATAATTTTAGTAAAAAATGATGAACATGTATAATTTTTAGTTGATTGACAAGTAATTTTAGTTAAAAAAACAAGAAAAGTTTGTCTTGGTAAATTTGTACTGAAAGGAAGAAAACAATTGAACATTTGACTTTAAAGAACATGTAAGAGAATGCGATGAACATGGTGAACAAACGAAGAACATGACAAAGAACACAGGGAACATGCAAGAGAATGCGATGAACACGGTGAATATCTCGCGAGACAACGGTGAACAGCTCGCTAGACAACGGTGAACATCTCGCTAGACAACGGTGAACATCTCGCTAGACAACTGTGAACATCACGCTAGACAACGGTGAACATCACGCTAGAGAACAGTAGTGTGGATGACACCTCACAGGGGATTTTTTTTTGGGGGGGGGGGAAATCCTCTGTGTGAGTCACGGTTTTCAGGTTCCAAAATCCTCTGTGTGAGTCAGGGTTTTTCAGGTTCCAATATCCCGCATGGGAGCCAGGGTTTTTCAGGTAAATTTTGTCAGTCACAGATTTTAGAAGTTGTTAAAAGTTCTTATGATGAAAATAATTTCCGAGACTTTAGAAGTTTGTTAAGAGTTCTTATGGGAGAAATTCAAATTCGTGTTTATGAGCCAGGGTTTTCAGGTAAATTTTGTCAGTCACAGATTTTAGAAGTTGCTAAAAGTTCTTATGATGAAAATAATTTCCGAGACTTTAGAAGTTTGTTAAGAGTTCTTATGGGAGAAATTCAAATTCGTGTTTATGAGCCAGGGTTTTCAGGTAAATTTTGTCAGTCACAGATTTTAGAAGTTGCTAAAAGTTCTTATGATGAAAATAATTTCCGAGACGTTAGAAGTTTGTTAAAAGTTCTTATGGGAGAAATTCAAAATCGTGTTTATGAGCCAGGGTTTTTCAGGTAAATTTGGCTAGTCACAGATTATAGAAGTAAGGATTTCTTATGATGAAATAATGTCATACGAGTTTGTTAAGAGTTTTTATGATGAAAATAATGTCATACGAGTTTGTTAAGAGTTCTTATGGGCAAAATTCAAGTCACTGATGTGGAATTAAGGAAATTCTTATGATGAAATAATGTCATACGAGTTTGTTAAAAGTTCTTATGATGAAAATAATGTCTTACGAGTTTGTTAAGAGTTCATATGGGAGAATTTTTTTCAGAGTTCCTACCGATAATAAACAGATATTTAGGCTGTATATGTTTAAGTTGGATTCTTACTTAGAAACTAGTATATTGTTATATATCTGAATCATTTCACTGCCTTCCCCTCCCCCCTGCATCTCCTGCTCATACATCACACCCCTCCCTCCCTCTTACCTCGCAATCTCTCGCCGCACCTGTGTTTACTTTAGACCGTCAGCCAGACGCCGCATGCAGGTCATCTCTTAATCTTATCTTATCTTCTCCATAATATCTGGACCGTCCCTCTCTCTCTCTCTCTTCCTATTTCCTTACAGCTATTTTCAGTTTCAAATAATCATAGAAGTTTATTTATATGTTTATGACCGAATTTGTAAAAAGACCATTTTCAGAGAATAGTGTCTTAGATTTTTTGTTAAAGAAAACAGACAACTTAGCCATAACATTTAGTTTTATATCCATTTACGGCTATTTCACCTGTAAAGACCAAAATTGAACAGAGCCCAGTTATAGACAGAATTTCGTCAGAGTTCATTTTATACCTAAAAATGAACAGAGTCCACTTTGTGAGCAAAATTAGTCAGAGACAGTTTTAAGCTCAAATTTCATCAGAGTCCAATTATCAACAGAAATTCGTCAGAGTCCAGTTTGCTAGCAAAATTAGTCAGAGACAGTTTTAAGCTCAAATTTCATCAGAGTCCAATTATCAACAGAAATTCGTCAGAGTCCAGTTTTCTAGCAAAATTCGTCAGAGTCCTGTAATCTGTGAAAATTTGATAAGAGTCCATTTTATACCCAATTTTCATCAGAGTCCAGTTTAAGCTCAAAATTCGCCAGAGTCCACTTGGAGAGCAAAATATTCAGAGTCCAGTTCATGATCGAAATTAATCAGAGTCCAATTGAAGACCCAAATTTGACAGAGACCACATTTTCGCTACTAGCAGTCCAATCCCCCTGAAATTTAAAACAGACATACTTCAGTCGTAGTAAATAAGATCAAGTCAGTTACTGAGCTCCAGCTCTCGTCCCCCACCCTACTTCCCCCTCAAGTCTTTGTTAATATCCTATCAATTCCCCTGAAATTTTTACCCTCTGTATTTCAGACACCGTAAATAAGATCAAAAACAGTTATCGAGCTCCAGCTCTCGTCCCCACCTTAGTTCTCTCTCGTATCTTTGTAAATAACCCATCAATTTCCCTGAAATTTTTACCCTCTGTATTTCAGACATAGTAAATATGATGTAAACAATTATAAAACTCTAGCTCTTGTCCTCTGTCCAAGTTCACTCCTGTAAATTCATTACTATCAGTCCAAATCCCCCTGAGATTTAAACACCCAACTACATTTTCAGACATAGTAAATAAAAGCCAGTTCAGTTATCAAGTTTCAACTCTTGTCCCCCAGCTTAGTTCATTTTGTACAAGTTCTTTATTTTCAAACTAAATCACCTGAGATTTAAGATCACCTTATTTCTAACGTAGTAAAATTAATCAGGGCATTAGCCAAGCTCCATTTTCTCTGTCTTAGATCATCAAACATAAATATATCCGATCAAGTCCCTCGCCAGCCTAACTCTTTATCAGAGTAATCACCTTACCCTTTCCCTCCCTTACCTTCTCATCCCCAACGTATCCAAACCTTCAATAATCATACTGTATTTGCATATTTTCTCTATATTCAGCTGTGTTCTTCACATTTTTTCCATGTTTTCTGTGTTCACTCCATGTTCTACAAATGTTCACAGCATGCTCAGTTCAAATTTTTTCTACCATTTTCCCCGTATGTTCACTATGTTCTTTGTCATGTTTTCATGTACATCATATGTTCTCTGTATAACTTTTATACTCAATATTCATGTTCTCAATGTTCTTAGCTTGTTCTTCACATGTTCAGTGTTCATTCTTTGTATTCCCTATGTTCCTTATCATGTCTTCATATTCTCTATAAGTTCATATTCCCTGCATGTTCACTCTATTC